TCAAGGTCAATGCTTGTTTTATAATCACTTTCTCGACGAACCTGTAGCAAATGATGGTGGATGTTCGACCGCATCCTTCGTAGCCATGTGCAGCTCCTCTTCTCACGTTGAACAAACTTCACCTACCGTGCAGCAACTGCTGACCTTCAGCTACCAGATTTGCTTGGATATTTCCACACACCGCAGGCAAATATACATAATCATCATGATCGAGACCCATAAAGGCGCATCTAGAATCCTGCCACTCAGAAGAGGCATGTTGTGTCTTTTTATCTGGTAGCCTGCTGTTTCCGTACTGACTCTGACTCCAGAATTGCCAGACTGACAAGACGCAGAGCTCGTCGTTGATTCGACTTCGGAACTCTTCTACATTCCACATAAGAAACCTACAGCCAGTTCGCGGAATCACCGAAGGGCTGTGTGCTGGATCTCCACGCCAAAACGCTACGTTGCGAAAGGAATCGTGTCGTCGAACCAGGACTCGTCGCTTGTTCACAATTACTCCTCAGTTATGCACTCCAGAAGCAACCAGAAGAAGCAACTTAACGCTGTCCAACAAACCCTGGCGTTGCGCTTGAGAACCCAGAATATCATCTTCAATTGGCTCGGCAGTAAACTTCCGGGTATAATCTTGAAGCTCGCCTACGTGGTGGGCCAGGCCCGCTCATCGGCAAGATTTGCCGGTTTCTGGTTTTCGCGTCCATGATAATTCGGAGTTGGCGAACGAAGCAGCATTATTCTCCAAGGGGTAGAGTATCATGATCATGAGAAGAAGGAGGCTTGATAATAACAGAGAGGGCGATGCTCAAGTCCTCATGTCGTGAGCATATACATCTCGAGACTCTGATCTGCTTCTCGGGCAATCCGGTCTATTTTATCGGTTTCAGGTACACTCCCCTGGGCCCGGTTGCCGAGCCCTGGGTCCCGTTGCTTGTTTCTCCAAGCGAGAAAAGGAATCAACCAGCTTTAGGGTGACCTTACCAGTTACCACGATGTTCGAATGTGTTTATAGAGATCGAACTTCTCGTTGGCATCCAACATCTTGCCGGTATCCGAGAAATCAATGTCAACTGTATTGGTCACTGGTAGGGATCAATATGTTTGACTTCGAATTTAAGAGTGCTGGTGGAGAAAGAGGCGTTTCTATGTCTTTCATCTCACGGATACCGGACCCGCAATCTACAAAGCGTTACAAATGATATTCAAGCTTTCTAGTATCATTGCGTAAGGTATATTGACTAATTGAGATTCAGGCGACGAACTGGATCTCTGCAGTCTCTGATTCGTGAATATGTTGGAATAATCAATTCGTTTTGTCTTTCGCTTCTTGCCGAGGCTTCTTTCGGTACTCGATACCTCATATCATGTCATTGTGTCTTCCGGTTGTTCAAAACATTCCTGACAATCTTCATATAAGTTGCGAAGCGAGAAGAGAAGATGAAGACGCATCCAAGAAAAGAGTCATCCTAATCTTCAGAGAACAGAGCCCGGGTCAAATGATCTCTGCAGTCTCAATTCGAATCAGAAATTGAGAGGTGAGTTTCATGGACTTTTCTAGACCCAGTTATGCGGTCTCTGACAAAATATTACTGCAGTCGCCGCGCCAACTATGGCGGGCTTTGAAGGCGAGGCGCCTCAAGCCTCCAAGATCCCGTATTGGCGCTTGGTCTTTGATCAAAAGGTGGTCACCGCCGAAGTGATCAATCATCCTTACGCTGGAAGAGGCACCGATGATGATCCCTTTGTTGTTGTTTGGATTCCTAATGACTCGCGCAATCCGATGAATTTCAGCTCTATCCTGAAATGGTCGCTCACAATCCTGGTCTCCTTGACTACCCTGACGATTGCGTTGATATCCTCTGCCTACTCGGGAGGTATGGCCCAGGTCATGAAGGAGTTCGGAACTTCCAGAGAAGTCACTACTCTGGGAATATCCCTTTTCGTTCTTGGCTTTGCGTTCGGACCGCTGATTTGGGCGCCGATGAGCGAAGTATTTGGTCGTCGCAACGTTTTCACCATCACTTTTTGCTTGCTTACTGCCTTCAATGCTGGATGTGCCGGCTCTGAGAATATCCAAACATTGATCATACTGCGGTTCTTGGCTGGTTTCTTCGGATCGTCTCCCTTTGGCAATGCAGGTGGAAGTATTGCCGATATGTTCCCGGCCGCCAAACGGGGCATTGCTATCAGCCTTTTCTCTGCCGCACCTCTCTGCGGCCCAGCTATCGGTCCAATCATCGGAGGTTTCCTCGGCTCTGGCGCAGGTTGGCGCTGGGTGGAAGGGTTCTTAGCCATCTTTTCGGGTGTCATTTGGATATGCCTTTGTGTGTTTCTGCCAGAAACATACGCCCCAGTTCTCTTGCGCAGACGCGCTGAAAAGCTCTCGGAACTTAGTGGCAAGGTCTACCGTAGTAAGCTTGACATCGAGCGAGGCAAGCTGTCGCTGCAGCAGACGTTGACAACAGCACTGTCGCGGCCATGGCGTCTTCTGTTCCGTGAGCCTATCGTGTTTCTATTTTGCATATATATGGCCATCATCTACGGCATCTTATACCTTTGCTTTGCCGCCTTTCCAATAGTCTTCCAGGAGGCCCGCGGTTGGAACGAGGGTATCGGAGGCTTGGCTTTCCTAGGAATCCTGGTCGGTATGGTCATCGCTGTGATCTATACATTTCCAGAGAACATGCACTACGCCAAACTGTGCAGACAAACAACGGGTCGCCTTCCTCCCGAAGTCCGTCTGCCGCCAAGTATCGTAGGCGCTATTGCCTTGCCTATCGGCCTTTTCTGGTTCGCCTGGACCAACTCCCCCTCGATTCACTGGATGGCCTCGATTGCCGCCGGAGCACCCTTTGGTTTCGGGCTAGTTCTCGTGTTTCTCAGCGTATTCAACTACCTGATCGACGCATATACCATCTACTCTGCGTCTGTTCTGGCAGCAAACTCCGCCCTCCGGTCTCTCTTTGGCGCAGCCTTTCCGCTCTTCACGAGCTACCTCTACTCAGGGCTGGGTAAGTCACGTGATGTCACCCTTCGTTTGACTCTTGCTAACGGCGTTTTAGGGATTCATTGGGCGTCGTCGATTCCTGCGTTCCTGGCACTAGCCTGCGTCCCGATACCCATTGTATTTTATCTATACGGCGCGCGCATCCGGAAGCGCTGCCGCTACGCCGCCGAGGCCGAAGCATTCATGCAACGTCTTGCACAGAGCAATCAGCAGGAAGCTCGGCGCGAAGAGCCGGTAATCGAGAAGCCCAATGCCGAGGTCGAAGCTGCTGCGATTGACGTGGAAAGCGATAGTGAGACTGGCAGCCTGTCTAGTGTTTCCTCTGCGAACGATATGAGTAGGAGGGCGTCTCGAGCGTCGAGGATGTCTGGGCGCTCGCTGGGCCGCACGGCGACTCAGTACGAGGAGAATCCGTATGATATCGACCGAATAAACACTCGTAATTCTGCTATCAGTGGACATCGTCAGCAGGGTTAGTTGGATAGGGTGGTTGTGCATTAGCTTGTCATATCTAAATGATGCCTCACGTCTCGCTTCTATGACTTGACTCATTCTCCATCAAGTTCAATTGACTTACTGCTCACCGCGCAGATTCATAGCTATAATGGTTGCACATATTCTTGGCTTGTTGTTGAATAGAGCTAGAGTGCTATGCTGCAGGACATGTCCGGCAGAACGCTTGTCTAAGGGATACTTCAAGATACCCACGACCTCTTCAAGATATTCATCCCTGACCCAACTGTACATAGATGAGATCGGACTGCTGAATATTCCCTCAAACCTAATCAACATTCAATCAGAAGTCTGCCTGACATCGGTCAATGAAGCAAGGTACACCATTGACTTTAGACACACGGGTAACGTAGTACATCCCTCGTTCAAGAAGACTACTTTGATCAGAGATTAGCGTAGCGGTGTCTTATACTCAAGACTTTCAAGCTCTGATCATCAAACCCCTTTGTATTAGCGTAAGTCGAGGTTGCGCAACGATTGCCTATCGGCTCGCATGCCTGCGCAGACACATACATGAGGCGTCAAGTTTCCATAGGGCACGATGACAGGGTACACGCATCCCTGTAATCCCCATGCAGGCTTGCCGCAGTACCTCTCTAATATGAACTGTGGGCAAGCTTTGGTCAAATGTCATCATCAAGGACTGAGATGACTCTGACGTTTCCCTGTCAAGTATTGCGGAAGCCGTCAGTTGCTTGATAGATCCGTCGTCATGGATCTGTCAGCCATCGGGGATTCGGGTAGGTCTTCTAATGTCGAGCAATCACAGAGTTCCTAAGAGTCAAGTAGTAGTTAGCAAGAGGTGCATCTGAGTCTCGGCTGCTTCCGTGAAATCATGGGTCTTTCCGTTGGGCAATTGGCTTCTCTTTCTTATGCTGCGACGGATGATATGGTGAGTGATCATGTCTATAGATCCTACATTGTAGGGGCTGTGGCAACGGAGCGGCCGGTAGTTGGATGACAACGAGCAAGAGAGTCTTCTTATTGTCGGTAGAGCAGTACTGGTCATGTCCTGGCTTTCTTGTTGCTGTACTCATCCCGAAAAGCATAAAGAAATCAGTGTATGGAGATAGAATAAAGAGGATTGCGCCTGTAGCTTCGTGCACACGGCCCGCGCGGCCAAATGGTTCTTCTTTAACTTAGTACATCACCACCAGGGCTAGTATTGCAATGGGGTGTAAAGCTTCAGCACTTAGCAGTTTCTGACGACGCCGAGATATCGCATCGCCATGACAGCGCACTTAGGCGTCATGTGCCCTGTGTGAGTCGATTCACCCCATTATCCAAACACACGAACACAATTTTCTCTTCTCTTTCTCCTCTTCCATCACCCACCACCCTCATCTTTCTTCCACAACCACCCATCTCTCTCATCTTTCGTTGCTGAACGTTGTTGCTTCACGTATCATCTTTCAGTATCAAGTCTCGTTTGTTTCGTTAAATCTCATCACAAGTTCATTGCAGTCAAGATCCAGTCAAGATGGAGAAAACCACAGTCCTCTTCCTCACTAACAGTGAGCTGGGACAGGCCTCCGTGAGTCTGGCTGTCATCCACGAATTCCTCCTTCGTCCCGAGTACGATGTGCATATCGGCTCCTTCCCAGCTCTAGGCCCAGCTGTCACCAGGATGAATGCTCGTGCCAAAAGCCTCGCATCCGCTCAGCAGGAAGCCACTTTCCATATGCTGTGCGGACTGTCGATGAAAGACGCGTACTTCCAGAAGGTCGGTAACCGTGGTACTTTCAACATTCATCGTGTCGGCTTGAGGGGCGCCATGAGCGCGTACAAGTCTGTTCTAATCACGGCCATCGCGCCCTGGAACGGAAGCGAGTACATGGCGGTTTACTTCCAGTGTTTTTTCGTCATACAGGAAGTCCAAGCTGCTGTTGTAGTCGTTGACCCATTGTTTGCCCCGGCCATCGATGCGTGCCTCAAGTTGAAGATCCCATATCTCGTCCTGAGCCCCAATACTCTCAAGGACCACTGCCAGGCGAAGCTGGCGAACTTCTGGAGGGTGCCCGCGTGAGTAGCTCCATCTTTGCAGTGACTTCTTGTGTTGACACCATCGAATAGACTCTGTTCCGGTTATTCGTACCCTCTGCCTCTTCACAGAATCATCCCAAATACAATTCTGATGCTGGGTCTCGGGCTGACCATCCACAAGTCATCCGAGCTCAAGGAGCTTAAAAAATACCGTAACGCGAACGAGCTCAGCGGTAAGACTCCGGGAATGATCTCTCCTTCCGGCGATAAAACTCCTTTTCTGGTCCCCTCCAGAAAAGAGTACGAGTTTTCTCGCCGTGTCCCGGGTAACTTCACCCTCTGTGGCCCGATCATTCGTCCTTGGGGCGCATTGGAAACAGAGAATGCGGATCTCGCCAGGTGGGCCAGGCGGGCACCAACCGTCCTGGCCAACTTTGGCTCTCATGTCGTCTTTGATAATGTCACGGCGAGACAGTTCGCTCAAGGCATCGCTCTTCTGCTCGATAGACGACCCGAGACACAGATCCTTTGGAAACTGAAGTGGAATCCCGAGATCAAGGTTGATGACAAGGCGTTCGAGAGCATTCGTGGCGCTATCGCAGATAGACGCGTGCGTATCACCGACTGGCTGCGTGTGGAGCCCATAACCCTCCTGATGAGCGGCCATATTGAATGTCTCATTCACCACGGTGGTTCCAACTCGTTCCATGAAGCAATCAGGTGAGCTCTGCAAGCACCAACACTTCTGTCCTTACAGCTTCGACTAACGATGATGACCTCGCAGGGCCGGCGTTCCCCAGGTCATCCTCCCTGTGTGGTTTGACACGTACGAGTTCGCGGCTCGTGTTGAGTGGCTGAAAATCGGTATCTGGGCCAATCGAAAGACCGCTCCCGCCATCAATGGGAAGCACTTGGGACGCTCTCTAATTCGAATCTTAGCCAGCAACGACAGCCCCAAGATCTTCGCCAACGCAAAAGTCCTTGCCTCCCTGCTGGGACCTCGGGAAGGACGTGTCGTCGCGTGCGAGAAGATCATCGAGTTTATCAATACTCAAAAGCAAGGCCAAGACCAGAAGGACCAGAACCAGCAGGACCATGCAGAAGAGCAGAACGTCGAGCAGGTGCCGGTCAGAAACGAGGAGAGAACTCCAGAGGAGCTTACTTCGCAGGACTGACGTCTTTGTACTAGAGGGAAGATGAATGAAGCTGGCGAGCTGGGCATCCTTCTTCGGCTTCTAACCGACCCCTACTCTCAAAGTAGGGGTCGGTTAGACAAGGTGTTCAATAGGGGAGCGCGTCAGTCGTGATTCGGATTCTGATCTACCTCAGGTGGGAACGTGCGGACCGCGCGGGCAGTACGGAAGGTTGATTAGGGAGAAATCAGAGGAGGATTGTGTTTTGTGTTCACAGAGAAAAGCCAAAAACAAAAAAAAAATAAAGTGTTTTAGCTTCGCAGGTAGTTAAATGGATCGATTCTCCCCTCTGTTTACCCTCAGACCAAAGACTGAGCTGTAGAGTGTGAATGAAAGACCTCATCTTCCGCCCGGCTAAAAGTTGAACCGCACTGTGTTTCTCCCCGCATCGTCCGCTTTCGGCCCGCAGTCGTTTTCATACAATAAAAGAAGGCATCTCTAATCGCTGTTTTTCGAACAGTTTCTTTCCGTTTCAGTCCTGTTCTATTTATCATATACTCCTGATCTACCTGTGAAGATGTCGGGTGAACGTGTGGCCTGGATTGGCCTAGGAAACATTGGACGGGTATAGCTTCACGCCCGATAAACAAATACGTCACAGACAAGCTAACGCAAAGCCCCAGGGAATGAGCAAGAACATCGCTCACAAAGGCCCTCAGTCCTCTCTGACTCTCTACAACCGCACCGTCGCTAAAGCTTCCGCATTCGCCGAATCCCTAGGCCCCAACAAAGCCACCGTCGCTACCACCATCCCCGAAGCCGTCAAGGACGCCTCCATCATCTTCATCTGCGTCGGTGACGATCACGCCCTCGACCAGATCATCAACACCATCCTCTCCGACTCCTCCATCAACCTCACCTCCAAGATCGTCGTCGACTGCTCAACCGTCCACCCCGACACCTCCCGCCGGATTCACGCCGCCCTAACCGACCGCGGCGCCTTCTTCATCGCCTGCCCCGTCTTCGGCGCGCCAGCTTTCGCAGACGCAGGCCAGCTGGTCGTCGTACCCGCCGGCGATGCAGACGCCATCAACCGGATCAAGCCGTTCCTCGAGGGCGTCACCGCCCGCGCCACAATCGACATGAGCGGCCACGAGGTCGGCCGCGCCAGCACCCTCAAGGTCCTCGGAAACACATTCATCCTCAACATGGTCGAGTCGATCGCCGAGGGACTCGTGGTGGCAGAGAAGTCCGGTCTCGGGGCCGATGTCTACCAGCAGTGGATGCATGCGCTTGTTGGGGGCATGTTCGCTAAGTACGCAGACCGCATGTACACGGGCGACTACTACAAGCGTGAGGAGCCGCTTTTCGCGGTGGACTTGGCACGGAAGGATCTGCGGCATGCGGCCAGCTTGGCTGATGCGGCTGGTATGCGGCTGCGTAGTGTTGAGGTCACGGATGGGTATCTGCAGCAGCTCAAGGCGGAGAAGGGGGAGAAGGGGGATATCGCGGCTGTCTATGGGGCTATTCGGAAGGAGTCGGGGTTGCCCTTTGAGAATGAGCAGTGAGCCCTGAGGTTTAAACTACGGGGCTACGTGATCGGGACGCAGATATATACTTGAATTTTAATGAGTCAACGAATTGTGTTGAATGATGAAAGTCGTCGCTCTGTTTAGATTATATCAATGAATACGACACTCAATTTTATAGATACCTGCAAGGCGCCTGAAAGGAGAGAAGTCTTTCTAGCAGTGATAAGTCTGTTGCAATCTCTCAACTGTATGCTCTTTCTTTGCATGACAGGTATTCTCGGCAATGCATAATGAACTCAGATTTATCCTGTCTCTGAAATGCCTTACCTGTTTAGTTACGAAGCGAGTAGATGCGAGCCTCATATGGTCGTAGTTGAAGCTTTTGCGGCAGCACGTATTCCTTCACTTCGTAGTTGGAGATGAGCAAGATAGCCAGGTCAACGTCAATCTCTTCGGGAATCTCATAATTAGAAGGTTCCGCCGACCAGTTGCAGAAGATCAAGGTGCGCCACGGCCCTTGCGTCCGCAGGAAAGAGAACACCTTGGGATCAGTCGCATTGATGGGGAGATAGACTCCGTACCACTGGGAACCTCCGGTCAGTATGCTTGACTACCTCATCATTTGATCATCATGATTAATCATACCATCAGCGGATGTTGTTTGCGAATATGCAACAGCTTCTTGTAGTAGCTCAGGACCGAGTCGGGATCACGCTCCTGAGCCTGGACGTTGATATCGGCATATTCATCGTTCATTCGGAGCCATGGTTTGGCATTTGGTGAGGTGAAGCCTGCATTGGGCGAATTATCCCACATAATAGGGGTACGCGCATTGTCCCGTCCTTTGAGGCGAATGACGTGCATCACGTCGGACATGTCAGGCTCCTTTGAGGGATCTTTTTCCTTGCGAGCTTTATACTGACTGTGAAATGAGTCAGCAAATGATAAATCAAGGGGAGACTGGCTCGGGATCGCCTACGCCTGGTAGTATGAATGAGTCTCAACATCGTTATAATCTTCAATCTTCCAGTTCTGCGGATGGGGGGTACCCAATTCCTGGCCCTGGTAGAGGAAAGGGGTTCCTCTCAGAGAAAGCTGAATTGTGGCTAACATCTTCGCTGAGACGGCTCTGTACCGCGGATCAGTGTTGCCAAATCGTGACACACACCGGGCTTGGTCATGATTCTCAAGATACAGAGAATTCCAACCTGGGTCTCTCAGTTCTTGCTTCCCAAGGACGAATTGAGCGGTCACCTACCGTTGTTGCCCAGCATATGCTGCTGCCAAATCCTGAACACCTTCTCGAATTCCCACAGCTCCCACTTGCGAGGCTTCCATTTGTCTCCATTTTCACCATCCAGATCCATATGGTGAAACTGGAAAACCATGGAGAGCTCCTGACGCTCCTTGGCCACATACTGACTGGACTCATATTCGTCCACACCACAGGGCATCTCACCAACTGTACAATTGGTGTATTTGCTCAGAACCTTGCGATTCATCTCATGCATGTATATGTGGATATTGGGACTATATCTTGTCAGAGCTCCATGCTTCGAGTTACTTCCCTGGGAGGCTTACCCATTCGTGAATAATGGCACGGCAGGTTGCTCGTGCTTATCAGGGTTCGTGATGGGTGCATCTGGAAGACCGGGTGTCTTGGAGACAAGGTTGATAACATCAAACTAGGACAAACAGGTCTCGTCAGAAGCGTCTCTGTTTGGGGTCATGGCTGACTTACCCGGAAGCCGTCCGTTCCTTTACTTCCCCAGAAGTCAATCACGTCGAAGATTGCATTCCGCACCTCAGGGTTGTCCCAGTTCAGGTCTGGCTGAGATGGAGAGAACAGATGCATGTCTGTTATTGGTGAGCCTTCTACCATTGGAGTAAAGCCTATATCTGGAAGACTTACACCATTCGTCCGTATGCTCATCATACTTCCATGCCGGACCTAGATGATGCATTAGTATGATAGTACATTGCTTGGCTGGCTGAATCGAGTGATTTGCTGACCTCCAAACAGACTTTCCCAATTGTTAGGAGGTAAGCGCTCTCCGTTTTTGCCTGTCTTTCCCCTTCGCCAGAAGTACCAGTCTCTCTTCGGGTTGTCTCGGCTTTTCTTCGACTCCAAGAACCATGCATGCTGGCCAACCATTAGCAGAAGAAATGATGTTTCGGCATTAGCTTTGCTCACCTGAGAGCTGGTGTGGTTGAACACCATGTCCATCATTATCTTCATTCCTCTCTTATGAATTTCTGCAGCAAGGTCTTCCCAGTCTTTCATGGTTCCATACATGGGATTGATAGCCTTGTAATTTGCAATATCGTAGCCTTGATCTTCAAGAGGTGATTCATAGATGGGCGTCAACCACAGCATATCCGCCCCCAGGTCTTTCAGATAGTCGAGCCGCTTGATGATGCCGCGAAGATCACCAATGCCATCATTGTTGCTATCCTGGAACGACTGCACGTAGATCTCATAGATGATGATCTCTCGCCACCATTCTCGATCCATATCGAGAATATGCGGCTTGTACGTGCTGGACGCCGTCACGGACTTGTTATGACTCTGTTGACTTGGCATCTTTGCGGTTGACGAAAAAGGTTTGTCTCTGATAAGCGAACTTATTGGAGGCTGGCAGTATCGAAAGTCTAACTTAGATGGTCTGGCAAATGTGGGAGCATGCAAGCTTCGCAACCCACAGCGAAAGGTTCTTTGAAGAAGAAATCGTCTCAGTTGAAACATCCTTGGCAGGGATCATTGACATGGAAGAATAAGTAGTCATTTATACAGCCGGGGCGATTTTTTGCCTCCCAAGATAATCCATTTGCTATGATCAAAGATTTGGTGCCATCATCATTGATGATATATTGTCGAAGCGTGGGAAGGACATCCCATGGAATAGATATCCGTCGGACGAAATGACCATCCTATGACCTCAACGAGATCGTTAGAGATTGACTGGAAAAACAAGCCGCGGACCAGATACCACGTTACCACGTCTCACCAGATATGCAATAATTTTGAATTTTTGTGAGGTTTTGTCGCTCCGTCTTGTAGCATGGAAGCGCAAGCGCGAGAGAAGACTTCTCTATGTCTAGCTCAGATTTTCATCCGATCAACACTGACAGGGCGCAGAGCCCTGATGCACCAAACGAATGTGAAGAGTCAGACAGTCTCGACAAGCTGCGTTGGTGGCAGAAAGCAACCATTTATCAGGTGTTGATTCAGAGCTTTCAAGACACCGATGGCGATGGCAAAGGGGACATTCGCGGAGTAGTTGAACGCCTCGACTATTTCGTCGCGCTCGGTATTGATGTTGTCTGGGTTTCGCCTATTTATGAATCGCCAATGCGGGACATGGGGTATGAGGACGAGCTGGACATGAAGAGTTGTATCGTGAGACTAACGAGAAGATTGCAGGTATGACATTAGTGATTATCGAAAGGTTAATCCAATCTTTGGAACCATGCAGGACATGGAGCTTCTGATACAGGAAACACATCGAAGAGGACTCAGGTTGATCCTGGACATCGCTCTCAATCACACTGCAACTGAGGTGAGTCCACGATGGATGACAGGATAATAATGGCTCACTGACTAGCATTTTCTCCAAGCACGAATGGTTCCAAACCTCCCGAAGAGCTCGAAAAGATCCCAGCCTAGGTAAGCGAGACTGGTATTTTTGGAGCGAAGGGAAGCTCGATGAGTTTGGCAACCGTATACCTCCAAATAACTGGGAGAGTACTTTTACCGGTATGGCCCGGAGCTTTCATGCTCATTCCTCGGATTTGAAGCTCACTCTGTCTGGGGCAGGTTCGACTTGGGAGTACGACGAGGTGGCAGGCGAGTTCTGTGCGTACTTCCTCATTCTTTTGTCTGAATATATGGGGCTGACTGGAGAGCAAGACCTACACATATTTGGCAAGAATCAACCCGACCTAAATTGGGATTGCGAGGAAGTGCGAAAAGAACTGTACAGTGTGTTGAGGTTCTGGTTAGACAAAGGAGTGGATGGATTCCGGGTGAGCAATTGTGTTTGCCTTGCTGCAGCCCTCATGACTGACCACTCGTCACACTGGCGAAGCTCGACACGATGAACTTAGTGTCCAAGACATCATCCTTCCCAGATGCTCCGATCTCGAAGGAAGGTTCAATATGGCAGCCCGCAAATTACTTGTTTGCAAACGGGTATGATTTACTCCCATCACAAGTTCGATTAAGTCCTGTCGGGGCTGCAAGACTGACATACTTCCATAGTCCTCATATTCATGAGTACTTGCAGGAAATGCACCAGGAAGTGTTCTCCCATTATGACTGCATGACCCTGGCAGAGATGTCCTGCGGCGTCTCTCCTCCTGAAGCTGTTCGATATACGTCACGATTCAATCCTCGTCCTGAACTGGACCTGGTCATTCAATTCCAGCATGTGGAGCTCGACTGTCACGATGGCGACAAGTGGATGCTGCGGGAATGGGAACTCCCCGAATTGAAACGAATCATCAACGAGTGGCAGGAAACGTTGATCGATAACGGTGGATGGAATACAGTCTGGATGGAGAATCACGATCAGCCAAGAGGCGTCTCCAGGTTCACTACCAACAGTCCGCGATTTCGGGCTCTCTGTGCCAAATTGCTGGCTCTGTGGCAGTTCACGCTCCAGGGCACCAATCTCATTTTCCAGGGGCAGGAACTAGGGATGATCAACCCGGGACTCTTTTCAGAAGAAATGAATCAAGACATCGAGACGGTCCAATATTGGAAAGCGTACGTGTCACTTACTTTGACCAGGCACATTGTCCAATTACTCACATAACGAAGGGCTTGTGAAGAGGCAGGAACTGAAGCACCACACAAGCTCGAGTTGGCCAAAAAGGCCATCATACAGAAAGGTCGCGATAACACTCGGATACCCATCCCAGTGAGACACCACATGCACATCACTTTGATCACCATATTAGCTTACTGACATTCCTATTCCTATCAGTGGACTGAGGATGCCCATGGGGGATTCACAGCACCGACAGCCAAACCGTGGCTTCCTGCCTTTGATCACGGCGCAGAATGGTCCCACGCCAGCCAGAGACACAGTCCTGACTCAGTCTGGTCATTCTATCGCTCTCTGATCACCATGCGCAAGGCCAACCCGACTCTGGCAAGCACACCTTTCAAAGCTGACCACATCCTCTGAAATACTGACATGGTTCCAGTACTACGGGTCCTACGAATGCTTGGACGTGGAAAACCCCATAATCTGGGCCTACAAGCGAAAATCCAAACACAAATGCTATCTTGTCGTGCTCAACTTCTCCGGCTGCGCCTCCTCGTGGAACTATGTGAATCACGGCGTGGACTTGACAACATCCAGGCTACTCATATCGAACCACATGACGTGCGAAGCAAGCTCTACTCCGGACCTCATCTTTCTGAGACCGTTCGAAGGACGTCTATACCAATTGTAGCCATATGGATTCGAAGTATGCTTCAATTAGGCGTGCCCTGGGTCTAGCATGCTTATCGAGCAACGGAAAAAGACTTGGTCTGCTAACCTTCATCCCTGGATCATTACCCTCTGGTCAATGTGTTCACATATGTAGATGCACTTTAGGGCAATACTAGCTGCTTTATTGCTCGTTATCTTTAGGCTCATGTATATAGAAAAGTTCTTGTCCCACATGGAATGGCCTGCTGGCCCAATGGTAAGGCGCTTGACTACGGATCAAGAGATTGCAGGTTCGAATCCTGCGTAGGTCAAATTTTTTGTCAATTTTCCCTGCTGCAATATTGTTCCTTTTGGTCGCCCCATTTCACCTCTGGCTTTTTTGATTTCTGTTGTTTGTTAAGAAGTAAGTCGCTGGGTATGAACGGTCAGGATAGGCCAAGCTCGGCCATCGTTAGGTGTGATCCTGCGGATCTGTAGCTATGAACGAGGTGGCTCAGTAAAAATTTCAAATGATGCGAAGAGAATAGTGGAAGAACAACTGTCAGACGAGCAAGGGCTGCGATCATGGAGCATCACTCCAATCTATTGTTAAATTATCTGCCGAGCTGCCTTGTAAGCCTTAAGCCCACCTTTATGTGTTTTACTCCAAGTCACTGCTCTATAGGTACGTAGTCTTCCCGCAGCTCCTCGAATGGTTTCTGTTTCAGCCCTTGCCTAGGAGCGATACATTCCATCCCTTACATTGAGAATGGAAGGCACCAAGCGGAGGCGAGACAATTGATTTCCACACTTGTGAGCTTCGTGTAGTGTGCATGAGACAGAAGCTGTCGAACAGACACACAGTCGAAGTTTGGATCGTGTTTCAATTGTCTTATCTGACGTTGCCCCCTGTGATGAATTCCCTGCTGATCAAGGGACTCCAGGGTCCTGTGCAATCGTCACAGATTGTGAGTTGCAAACGCAGGGCAGGTTTTCTCATCTTCTAATGGCTGTTTCACGAGTCTCTCAGCCCCCGGAATGTAGCCGCAATCTAGGGGTAAGCAAACACGATCACTCGTCGCGTCGAGTATTGGTAACTCATACATGCCATAAATCGACTGCAGACCATAAACATATCACCGACTCGTTGCGCAACTCCATTCAGTCTTCGACAGTACTGCAATATCGAACAGAGTAAGTCAAACTGCAACCTCACACCTGTGTCTCAATTGACCCAATCCTGGCTAACAGAGGAAAGCCAAGCAAGATGGTCAAGTCATCCACCGTAGTCATTGCCCTGCTCATGGCCGTGGCGACGGCGGCACCTATTCCCGTGAGTCTATCCCGTTATATCAGAAGCAGCAGATCGGTCCTCACTGACAGCCCCAAATTGACAGACCGCCCCAAAAAACACTCCCTCCCACTTGAACGATAACAAGCCCCGGCTAGAGGCCCCCACGCTCGGCAATCTCCTCCTGAATCCGGATCTTTTCAAGACTTTCAATTTCTCTGGTCTGGCGAAGCCTGTTGGAGAAGCACTTGGTAGCCGTCGATGATGGCAGAAGAATCTTCACTACCGCAATTGAGGTTGCAGGAAAGATGTGAATTTAGAAAAAGTCAAGGGTCAGATCATATCATGTCATTGTTTTCGTTAACGTTCATACACTCGTAAAAATGCTTCAAAAGTACAACTGAACAGCAGAAGCGAGGGACTCAGCAGTTCTCTCGGCTGTAAGTCCGAGTTGGACCGGCTTCTCAACCGCAAAAAAGAGAGCACGAGATACCGCAGCAGAACAGTGGTCACCTGAAAGTAAGGGTCCAAGATCCGAAATGTAAACGAATGCTCAGGGGTATCAATATGAAAGAGCTCTTGAGTCGTGAACTCATTCCAAAGAAGATCAATAGTCGTCGTCCAGATCTAGATCGTCCACCTCCACCCGAGTTCCCAAGGCTTGTTTCCCTTCCTTGATCATCGCTTGAAGCTGCTCGTTGAGCCGTTGCAAACTAGCGTCTTCTTCGCGCTCCATGCGGCGCATCCGAGCCACGTACCGCTGCGTTTCAACTGAAACAGGACTCTCGCGCGGCTTTGCTGGGGACGAAAATTGCGATCTGGTGGGTGTTGACGGCATGATCTTTTTCCCAGACCGAGGCATCGTCACGCCTGACCTGCGACGAGTATGGGACGGGACGACTCCGTGGCGGCGAGTCACGCGTCGAGCAATTACAGGTGATGGACTAACCACCTGCAAGAAACCATCCTGAGTATCTTCTTGAACCATGACCCAGTTCTGTTGAATTTCATCCTTCGGAAACCGGCCAGGGACAGGGAGCGATCCGTCTCGCTGATGGGTGGCATCGTTTGACGTCATGTAATTCTCCTTTTCAGTGGACACTGGTGGCTGCCAGCTTTCACCAGGCTGGGTTCTCGAACCAGAATCAACTCCCATGCTGTATCCACGGCCACCTCCGGCGTAGAAGCCTCGGAAAGCACCCGACCAGCAAAAATCCCACACTTTACCAACGACATTGAAAACCGCCCGGCTCCAGCTGACGGGCTCGGATTGCGAGGGATTGCTGTTCTTTTCATCATGGATGGTACGCTTGGGGCTGGACGGCAAATTCGAATCCCGACGATTGCGTTTGCGACTGGGTCCACTGACCTCACTGGGGGTCAAGGACTCGATACTGACATCGAGAGGAGCCGGAAGAGGATGATCTCGATAGCGACTGGGACGGTAGTCGACCTCCGCGGGATTCTCGCGGCGTACAAGCCAAGGTCCGCGGGAAAACTGTTGATGGTAGTACGGTTGTTGCTGATGATTGTACTCTCCCCCGTCGGCGAGATGATAGTCGGTGTTGACCAAAGGAGCGGGGCTGGGGAGATCGACGGGAGAGTCATAGAAAGGACGCCTCTCTCCCGATTCAAAACGAGATCGCTTGCGGCTGGGGAGGGAGATAGAGCGATAGAGCGAGGACGAGGCTGACGGAGTCTGAGGGACTTGAAACAGCTGAGAAGGAGCGGCGGCCAGATCGAGTTTGGGAGGGACAGGAACGTCGAGAAAGAAGTCTGGCATTTCTCTAAATACCTCCATCTACTGGATGAGAGAGTAGACTAATTAAATTCTAGAAGAACGAACGATATTGGCGATGATGATGATGATGATGATGATGGTGACGATCACTTGGTGTGTTGGGAGAGATAAATCTGATGGGGGTGAGAAAGAGAAGAAAGAAAAAGTATGAAGATGGCTGGGAGAGACGCATAGACCACACTTCTTTCTCTTCCCTCTATTTTCTTCATCCCATGATAGTTAAGAAGAAGTAGCGATGATGTTAATGTGATGGATCCATTCTTCCTTTTTCTTCGTTTCTACAACAACCAACACTTGCTATGGATCAATTAACATCTCATCATTCATAGTGTATATCTATCAGCTTGGCAATGTTCATAGCTTTTGACTAGTCCACTGCACACCAGCAGCCTCCAATCCTTCTTCTCCATCCACCAACACACACCAGCCTTCGTAGCCTCGTCCTCCATCTCCCGCAATCGCTGCTTCGAAGTGTTCTCGGGCGTATTCCAGCACTGCATCGTCAAATGTTCCAGGCTGCAACCAGACCGCGGGGATCCCGACCGAATGAGCCTCTTGAAGCAGAGGCAGTGTTACTGCAGGAGGAGTGACAACCGACAATGAGGTCTGAGAGGGAGAAGGCAGAGCGCTGGGCGATGCCACCGTCTGGTAAGACTTGGAGGGGAGATCGATCTGTGGTGCTCGAGGGTTCAAGGGAGTGACAGGCAGAGAGTGTTGATGATACCAAGCAAGGACTATCAGTATCATGATGTCAGCGATGTAATGATCGGACCTTGATGGATTGAAGATCCGTATGCCATTCTGTCTTTCAGTAATAACTCACTCTTGTAGCCGAACTTGTTCGCATCGTTGCTGGCTCCAGCAACCGCAAAGCGCGGGGAGGAGAAGAATCGTTTGACGGCGTCCATGAAGATTGCGCGTTGGCGACGAAAATAGGCACTGATGTAGTAGTAGTGACTGAGGATTCAAATTTCAGACTATATCTGAGCGATGATCTGGAATCCAAGAGATCGAAGCTATATCAGTTATCATCTATCGAAATGGAGAATATGGATCCACTTGGAGAATTGTGGAGATATTTATGGGATTCCTTCCGTCATTCATCCTCGGTTGTTCCACTCGTCGCCTCTCCGTTCTTTTATCTTTCTACGACATTTCCGAGCCAATCTCATCATCTCTTCTCCATATTTCACCATTTTCTAATCTTAATCTCCATCTCCACGGCTCCCTCGCATGCCACCCTTCGTTCCCCGTAAGCGTGTCTCTTCCGAGGATCCGCCCACTGCCAAGCGTCAGAATGTCACCCCCATCGTCGAGATCGCAGACTTTGATGAAGACTCCGACTCCGATTCCTCCTTAAGCGATGCTCCTAGCTTGGACGACAAACCCCATGCGAAACTGGATCTTCAGGAACCGAAGAAACAAGCCTCCGATGGCTCCGAGTCCGACGAAGACGAAGATGACGACGAGGTGGATTGGGAGGACGCGATGGACTCCAAACTCACCTCTGCGTCGATCTCGGTGACGCCCGCTGCCGCTGTGCAAGATCTCGAATTGACATTAGACAAGAATGAGATACATCTGACTGATATCTCAGATGGGAAGAAGGGTCCATCCAAGATCGAGCGCCAAATCCGCATCTCCACCCATTGTCTACATGTCCAATTCCTACTCTACCACAACGCGGTGCGCAACGCCTGGGCAAATGATACCAAAGTCCACGAGATCCTACGTGGAAAGCTCCCTGCTGGAATTCATAAGGAAGTCAAAAGATGGCGCATCGCCTCCGGTCTCGAGCTTCCCGAGAAGAAGCCAGAGGAAAAGTCCAAGAAAAAGAAAGGCAAAACTCGGAAATCAGACCGGGATTGGAGTGAAGGCTCGTCGCGCGTAGAGCCTGGGCAGCCAGATATGAGTCGCGGGGATCCCATCATCCCATTGCTCAAAATCCTGGCCGCTTACTGGAGAAAGCAATTCAAGATCACCGCGCCCGGACTACGAAAGGGTGGTTATCGGCCGATGGCTCATCTGGAAGCCGAAATATCTTCTTTCCAGAAAGACGAACACGATCCTGAGAGGCATGGGGAGCGAATACGCAATGTGGAAGAGTTTCGGTCTGCGGCAGAGCGAATGGAGGGTTCTCGAGATCTTGGGGCTCAGCTGTTCACCGCGCTCGTCCGCGCTCTAGCTATAGAAGCCCGTCTGGTCGCCAATCTACAGCCCCTTGGATTTGGCTGGACCAAAGCGGAGGCCTACACGCCGAGAGCCAAAGTGGAGGAAGGGACCATTGCGGAAAATGGGGAGTCAGAGGCTATAGTTGGTCTGGAGTCCGACAGCAGTGACTTAGAGACCGGTCCCACCCGTCGAAACAATTTAAAAGGTTACGATAAGGACCTTCCCTTTCCCATCTATTGGACTGAGGTAGCCTCACCTATCACGCACGAGATAATTCCTGTTCATCCCCTGATACTGTCAAACCCTGTGGCAACAACTCCAGAGCTGCAGGCTGCGTTTGAGCCTCGTGGAGCCAAAGCTGAGAAGGCCAAGCAGGTTATATGCTACGTTGTTGCGTACTCTTCCGACAAGACCGCTAAGGATGTTACGACACGCTACCTCCGTCGCCGAACCTGGCCAGGCAAGACCAAGGGCTATCGCATGCCAGTAGAGAAAATTCCTGTTCCCGGCCGGAAGAGAAAGTTTTTCGAGTATGACTGGTTTCGGACCATTTTGCGCGTGTATGAGCGCTCTGAGAAAAATCGCACAAAAGTCGATGAGGTCGAAGACGCCAAAGACCTACGCCCTAACCAACCCGAGAAGAAACAGGTCAAGGAAGGAGACACGCTGCAGAGCCTTCGTTCGTCGACTGAGTTTGTCCTGGAGCGATTTCTGCGCCGCGAAGAAGCCCTCCGACCCGGAGCCCAGCATGTGCGCACGTTCGTGAGCGGCAAGGGCGACAAGGCCAAAGAGGAGAAGGTCTACCGGCGAGCAGATGTCCTCAAATGCCTGTCCGCTGAGAGCTGGCACAAGGAAGGACGCCAGATCAAGATGGGGGAAGCCCCGCTGAAACGGGTGCCGATCCGCGCCGTCACCCTTCTTCGGAAGCGTGAAGTCGACGAGATGGAACGCGAGACAGGCGAGAAGCCCAAACAAGGCTTATATGCCAAATACCAGACCGAATACATAATACCACCACCAATTCGGGACGGCATCATCCCCAAAAACGAATACGGCAACATCGACTGCTTCGTGCCCAGCATGGTACCCCGCGGTGCCGTCCACATTCCCTGGCCAGGCACAGTACGCATCTGCAAGAAGCTCGGCATCGACTTCGCGGAAGCCGTAACCGGCTTTGAGTTCGGGTCCAAGATGGCCGTCCCCGTCATCCAGGGCGTGGTCGTAGCCTCCGAGAACGAGGATCTCGTCAAGGACGCCTGGCGCGCCGACGACGCCGAGAAACGGAAGAAGGAGCAGCTCAAGGCCGAGAAACGCATTCTACAGACATGGCGCAAGTTCCTCTTCGGGCTGCGCATCGCGGAACGCGTTCGCGAGGAGTACGGAGCCGACGACGGAGACACGGAGCGCGAATCTCATAACCCCTTTGCAAGCCGACAGGCACGAAGTCAAGCCCGTCCACCTTCTGTTCGGGAGGCCTCGCGCGAGTCGTCCGGGGAACCTGCCCACCGTGGCGGCGGCTTCCTTCTTCCTGGCGAAGACGATGGCGACCACGGCGACCTGGTTGTCGAGGATCATCATCCACGCCAAGCTCGTCCGTCCGTGCAGCAAACTGAAGCTCTAGGCGAGGACGAGGAGGTGCCGGGTCATGATGCCATCAGCATCAGCTCCGACGGGGGCGGCGATCTCTCGTCTCCACCGCAGATATCGGGCTCTGAAGAGGACGAGCCGTCGGCGTCTGCTTCTGAATACGAGCCACCTTCGACGCGCAGGCGCACTCGGAATCCGAGTCGAAGGACAAGGGGTAAATGATTATTACAATAAATTTCATGAGGGTACGGTCAGGCGTTTATGCATGTAAGGATTGCTTGGGATACACGGCTACTGGGCGGGACTACTCTGGGATGGATACGCAGGATGCCTTATGTACAATGACTGTATCATACGATGAACACGAATGAGCTAATAGCATGCAGTCCGCGGGAGACCTTACTTCGGGCGTTATATACATTGAAGCATATATGCACACGTTCACGACGTAGAGAATCACAAATAAACGTGAGGTATCATATCCTCCGCCCACGAGCAGACGGAGAAGCACCCAAATCCATCTCAAAGTCCCCAACGGACTCCCCATCCGCATCCAGATCAAACTCCCCCAAGGGCGTTACATGCACCGCCGGCGAGGCAATAGGGCTATGCGCGACGCGCGGCCGTGACTTGAACACGCTATTGTAGTCCGCCGCCTCCTCGAACAGCTCGTCCCGCGGAGTCGACGCCCGAGTCTGCGACTGTTTCTCGGGTGTTTCGAACTGGTTGACGGGAACGGAGACACGCGACTTGCGCGAGCGACGGGGCTGCTGTGGGGGCCGGCTGCTCGGGGGCGGAAGCAGCGACATGGATTTGCGGGTGCGTTCGACGAGCGTGAACGTGTTGAGGCGGGGGTCGTGTTTGGGCTCGTTGTCTGGATCGGGGGTGATTTGAACGGTGGGCGAGCTTGTCCGGGTGGATTGGTCGTCTGGTGAAGGGACAGCCTCGTTTTCGTTTGATTCTTTATGGTAGGAAGGTCTGGAGTAGTGTGAGGTCGAGGGGTTGGTTGACTCAGCGTTGAAAGGTGTTGCCATGGTCGGTTCCATGGCAGGTACACGCAGTGGAGGAACGGCTCGTCCAGAAGAACGAGGATTGCCGTCGATGCGGGAAAGAGCTTCATCCATCGACTGTAGAAGGGCCTGGTCGTCTTGTCGGGGAGGAGCTCGAGCTAGCGGCTGGCGAACGGCTTTTGAGATGCTGGCCACGGTGAGAGCCTGGTGATCCTTGAAGGCCAACGGCGCCTTGTTTGTTACATTTTCCGACGTCTGGGCCCCAGCACTGTCTTTCTTGCGCATGGAGCTGGCAACCTCGCGCCATTTCTGCAAACGATTCCGCTGACGCGCGATGCGGGACTCCAAGTCAACCAGCAGATCTGGTGTCGTACTGACGGTCAGATCCTCTACAGTCGTCTCGTTTGCCTTGGACCATGCTGTTTCAAAGGGCAGCTCTAAGAAAGCATCACTGCTACTGCGAGCACCGCCATGAAGCAGGGTATCAGCCCACTCCTCGCTACCCAACCAATTCTCTTTCAGCTCGCGCGCTAACGCATCGAGGTTGGCGACATCCTCGGGAAGATCAGGCCGACCCTCTTTAGACCGATCGTCGAGCTGGTTCTTCTTGCTGTCCAGCAGCTGAGAGAACTTCTCATGTACGTCCATAATCCGGGAGCGACGCTCACCCATTGTGGCCAGAGAGGCGCGGTGGGCAAGAATCAGCGGCAACATCAGCTGATACTCATCAGGGGTGATTCCCTTAGCCATGGACAATCTCACGGCGGGGTTTGGCAGACCGTCCATCGACGAAATCAGGACCTTGCGCAAGACGGCGGTGGAGAAGACGGCCAGGAGCTCATCGACCTTGTCCCCTTTGCAATCGTCCAACATGGACTTGCGGAAGATTGTTTCCCTGCCGAGGTCGCCATTCTTCTTTAGATCAGAAAGTACTCGAGATAGGGCGGCACGAAGATTGACCGATTGTAGAGGCTCCAACGGAGGGTAGAAGGGGCGGAGTTTCTAGCGACGGTAGCTGTCAGATTCATGCGCTTAGTGGACTGATTGCAGATGATCACGTACATCCTGGGCGATTTTGGGATCCCAGAGGGCTACCAAGTGATACAGAGCCCATTCGACCGCTCTGATACGCTGGCGCTGGTTCTGCGACGAGGGGGCAAGGGAGCGGACAGTAATGTCGGGCCAGTCGGGTTGAAGGTCAAGTTGCAGCAGCTTCAAATTGCGAATGAAGACGCAAGTGTGCGATTGGTGAGTCCAATTGAGAGATTTCGGACGGAGAGGTTGTTTGGAGGACTGCATGGTGGATGCGCATGCTCTTTCAGCGAAACACAGGACGATGCAATGGTTGCTTAGCCGAGCATTGCAGATGATATGATGGAATGTCAACAAAGCTTTGGCGGACCGATGATCTTGGACAAACTCTGGAAAACTCCACGATCACAACTTCATCTCAGAACTCGAGGGACACAAGTCATCTATTGACACATTATTCTGTATACTCCTTTCTACTTCACCATAGTATCTACTTTCCAGAGCTAATACTGGTCATTCCGTCCTCAAGCTATGTTGGAGCATCAGTGATCTGGTGTAATCACGTGAAGCCTGTCCTGAAGCAGAAGAATCCATCACTATCATCCGCAATCATTTCTCTTAGCTTATTCAAATCAGAACCTGGATCTGAAGGTATCTTGTATCTAATGGCTATTCAATGGATTGAATCAGTCTGATAATACCTGAAGTTACTCCATCTCTTATGAGTTATGAGGCTGGCTTGTTGTTTGTTTATCTTCACGATAAGCAGTTTGCACAGTTTGCATTGGAGGCCAAATCAGGAGCATCACAATCAAAGACGACAGACGACAATTGACTAAGAAGAAGTTTGATTCAGAAAATTGACAGGCAAGTATCAAATGAGACAGCTTGAACAATACAAGGTTGTACGTGCCATAGTCAAACATTATTGCCTGTGACTGATGCGCTGCCTGCTTGTTCCCTCCTACTAACTTGGCGGTGATAAGAAACAAACACTTCTCCTTCTCTCCCCGCAGAGATCTTCCCTTTTCTTCCCCTCGCTTCTTCCCTCTCTCATTGACTCCAACTTTTAGTCCCCATTACTGCAGTTACATCTACTGTCGTATATCCCATTGCGCTGCGCGTTACCTCCACAGTCTCTCTCTCAAAATTTAGATCGTCCAGTCTCTGAACTGTCTTTACCTCTCCACTCAAATCGTTACCAGCGTACCCCTCATCAAACAGCATCATGGGTTCGGACGCACCTTCTGACCCTCTCTGGACCACCCAGTCAGGTAGGCTCTGCCCATATACTCAAATGCTGATCTCTCTGATTTGATGATTCTGATTGCCGGTAGTTTTGTCCACACTGCCTCACCCTCCCGAGGAAAACTCCGCCTCTCCAATCCCATTTTTCCACCTCCTCGAACGTTTAAAGACCACCAAGCGCGAAGGCTGGCGTCGCTTTGGCATCAACTCCGGTGAATCGATTTCTGACCACATGTACCGCATGTCAATCATGACCATGCTTGCTCCTCCTGCTCTTGCCTCCCGCCTCAACCTGCCCCACTGCATGAAGATGGCGCTTATCCATGACATGGCCGAGTCCATCGTGGGCGACATAACCCCCATGGACAAGGTGAACAAGACGGAGAAGGCGCGTCGCGAGGCCGAAGTAATGGACTACATTGCGAAGAACCTGCTTGGCGGTGTACCTGGGGGGATGTTGACCGGCCAGGAGATTCTGAAGGTCTTCCACGAATACGAAGCGAACGAAACTCTTGAGGCGCAATTTGTGCACGATGTCGATAAGATGGAACTTTTGCTGCAGATGCTTGAGTACGAGCGCACCCACAAGGTTGACCTCTCGGAGTTCTGTCACATTGCCGGTCGTATCCAGCTGGACGAGGTCAAGGAATGGGCGGCCGCTGTTCTCAAGGAGCGGGAGGCTTTCTGGAAGAGGATGGCCGGCAACACGAATGGTAAAGCATAGACGACTAAGCGCAAGAGACTGGAAGGTTGAGTGTATTCGTACTTGGCTTCATTCTTGACATTTTGTTTTTGGTTCATCATCCCACCGAGCCCGGTGGTGGCGTTTGGGTTGGCATTCTAGAGTTAGATCGGATAGTGCGTGATAGCATGAGTCTAGGTATGAGCCATATGGGCATCATGACATTCAATGAGGCACGGTTCCTAATGCATCTAGTATGTATTCTTCATGTATGTTATAGAACCTGCTATAAGCAACCAGCCCCACCATGATCACTTCGAATCCTCCCTCTCCATCCTCTCCATCTCCCTCGCCAACATCTCCGCCTCAGCCTCCATCTCCTCCATACTCCTCGGCGACCGCCCCTCATTATCAACCGCAGGAAACTTCGGTCTCGGTCTCCGCTCTCCCTCCCCC